TCTTCTGTTTGACACAAGTGTTCTATCTCACTTATTGCCTCATGTTTCATAAGTGCTCATTTGCAAAATTTTCATCTGCTCGTTCATAAGCAACACATGCTGTGTCATCTTCATGGTCACATGAAGACAAATTTGGGAGGTTTTGTAGGAAGGAAATTTTGAGACATTCAAACACATGACTATATTCAGCCTGCTTTAAAAAAAAAAAAACTGCTTTTTGGAGAGAATAAGGAATAATTTTATCTTCCAACTAGGAATCGGAGTCTTATATGCCATTTAAAGAAAAAATTCATGAAGCCAGGTTGCTGACTTCAATAGAGGGCAAATTTTTCATCAGCCAGGTCTGTCAAATCCATTTTATTTCACAAATTGGACAGCCGTATCTGTATGTTCTCTATCAGCAACAAGAAAATGGTATTCTTTTGATTGGTAGTATTGGGTTTTATTTTTGGATGTTCTCACTTTTTATCAAGGGTGAGGAAAAATATCTAGACAATATTCAATATTTTTGAAAGCACATGATATTTACAAACAATAAGACCAGAATAAAACTTAAAGCATTTGGTAGACATTACTTCATGAACCTCAGAACTGGTGGTGAGACAAAATGGAGGCAGAGACAACAAATATTTACTGAGGGCCTATTGTATGCCAGGAACTGGATTGGGATAAAGCATCATTTATAAAGGTCATCTCCTCTAGTCCCCACAAGCCCTACGAAATGGGTTCTCTTATCCCCATTTGAAAGGTAAGAAAACTGAGGTAGGTGAAATGAGTGGCCAAAAGTGGCACAGAGGAGAAATGTAAGGAAACCAGGATTCAAATGCAGGTCTGCAGCTTCAACGCTCATGCTCTGAGTGCCTTACAATGAGGGGAAAAAAATCTGGAAATAATCTAAATGGCAACATAGGAATTGATTGAATCAATGGTAGTATATCCATACAAAGCAGTCATGGCAAAGGATGGTAAAGATCTATTTTTGACATGAAAAGATGTTAACATGTCAAAATAAAAGATTATAAACACAGAATATATGATCCTTTTTGACCTATAACTTGGTATGTATATTCGCATTAAAAGGTTATCACTGGGCGGCAGGACTTGACATAGGTTCTTTTTGACTTGTTTTTACTTTTTTTGGTTTTATTATTGAAGTTCTTTTTGCAAGCTAGGAGTAACAGAACACAATAAAGAATACCCGTTCAAAACAAAGAAAAATAAATATTTAGGGGTTGCAGGGGAAATACCGGAGGCATTACCAACCAAGCTAGGCATAAGAAAATTACACCCATTGTCATTGCTATTATTCAACACCATTCTGGAGGCTCTAAAAAATTCTAAAGAAGCCACCAAAAAGCTATTAATTAATAAGACCATTCTATGGGTGCCTGGGTGGCTCAGTCAGTAAAGTGTCTGCCTTCGGCTCAGGTCATGATCCCGGGGTCCTGGGATCAAGTGCTGTGTCAGGCTCCTTGCTCAGTGGGGACTCTGCTTCCCCCTTTCCCTCTGCCGCTCCCCCTGCTTGTGCTCGCTCTCAAAATCTTTTTAAAAAAGACAATTCTAACGAGATCCAATATAGATATATCAAAGCTTTACAACGGCTTCAGGAGTTGGCAAACTTTTTCCTTACAGGTCAGAGGGTCAGTATTGTAGGCCATGTGGTCTCTGTAGCAACTCCTCGACTCTGCCGCTCTAACACAAAAGCAGCCAGCCGTGAACAATGCCTAAGTGAACGGATGCACAGTCTCCCAATGAAACTTAGTTGTAAGAACAGGCAGTGAACTGGGTTTGGCCCACAGGCCATAGTTTGCTGATCCCTACTTTATACCACCAAAAACAAAGAAAGAAACAAAACAACAACAACAAAAAACAACCAGTTGATGGAGAAGACTTAGCAGCAAGAAAATATATAAAAACCTAGAAATAACTTTCTGAAGGGCGATTCAGCTGTATGTATACATCAAAAATTAAACTGTGACAACTCTTTCAATACAACAACTCCGTTTCTGGAATACACATGGCTCTTTATTACAGTGTTTTATATATATATATATATATATATATATAGACATTATCCATGTCTATGAGAAATACATCATTTTTAAAGCACATGACAGTGGTATGCCTAATTTTAGCTAGGTTTTTTAAATAGATGGGTGTGCACATGAGGTTTTGCATATGTACCCACAAATGGGAAAAAAAAACCCTGGAAAGATGTATACCCAACTGCTCCATTAGCAGTTATTTCTATGGGTGAATTTATGAGCAACGTTCTTACCTTTTGCATTTAATTTTTGTTTCTTTGTACTTTCCCAACTGAGCTTATAAGTAAAATTTTTCATTTTTAAAAGCAAGCAAGCAAACAAAAAACCCTGTGTGCCGCTCAACAATTTAGTCTTATTTCTACGAATGCTCAAGAATCTCATACACAGTGTCCTCTTCAAGAAAAGCACATTGGGGGGCGCCTGGGTGGCTCAGTTGGTTAAGCGACTGCCTTCGGCTCAGGTCATGATCCTGGAGTTCCGGGATCGAGTCCCGCATCGGGCTCCCTGCTCGGCAGGGAGTCTGCTTCTCCCTCTGACCCTCCTCCCTCTCATGCTCTCTGTCTCTCATTCTCTCTCTCAAATAAATAAAATCTTTAAAAAAAAAAAAAAGAAAAGCACATTGGTACTGATTTTCATTTCACATTAAGACATCACTGGGAAGTGCTTTAAATTGTTCTAACTGCTTCATGCCCTGAAGATAGAAATCTTCTGGCTCAAATAATGTGTAAGGAGCATCTATCTGCAAATCTTATCTTTTTCTTATCCTTCAGTGACATTTCTACAGGCAAGACTATGTGTATGCACATACATGCACCTGTGCACACATCTATCTAGGAAGAAAAGCCAAAGAAGGGAAACCGGGAAATAGGCAAGAATGGTAGGTGAAGGACCAATGTGAGTTAATACGATACAGGGAAAGAATTATTAAATTCATTTCTCAAGGTCTTATCGTTCTATAGTATGGGAACCTCCCCTGTTGGGTTAGGGACAAACTGACATTATTGCACATTCTTATTCTAATTTATGAAACTTTTAAGTCCTCCTAGAAAATTTAAGTCCATATGATTTATATTGTGAAAAGTTATGGATAAGTTGTGAAGCTTAAGCACATTTTTCCTTACAACTGGCAATAGGTATCTAATCACTGTGCCAATAGTTACAGTTGTTAAAACATATAAATTGAGACACTTAATTTTCATGTACTTAAAATCTTGGGAAAATGGAGATGGAGTAGAAAGAAAAATGATGGATTCTTCTAACTTCTCAGAAATTCTGGAGTTCAAAAGTCTCAAATATCCAAAACACAGGAAAAAAAAAAAAAATTCGATGATGGAACAGAGAAAACATACCTTTTTCACTTCACATTTGATCCGAAAGTTTCTTGGAAAGATTAGGTTTTCTAAAAGCTCTAGATCCTATTATTTTATACACTGGATGAAAAAGAAAAGCTTTAGATGGCCGAGTTCGGCAAATGCAATGCTCTAAACCTCAGGCTACAGCACAGTACTACCTCACACTAACGGAGAGAGCAGGAAGCTTCTTGTGCTAGATGAGCACGCTCTCCCTGCCCAAGGATGTCCTCATCCCCATGCCCAGACCTGTGCCTGTGCGTCCCTACATGGCAAAGGCACCTTGCAGGTGGGATTCAGTTAAGGATCTTGAGGTATAGAGTGATCAGGTCATAGAGCGGGGCCCTACCTCCATAAGTAGAAGAGTCTTTTCATAAGAGAAAGAGAGAGGAGATGTGAGGAGGGAAGTCAGAGGTCAGCGTGGAGAGAGATCTAAAGATGTGGCAGGGGCCATAAGCCAAGGAATAAAGGCGCTTGCAGGAGCTGGAAAAGCCAAGGGCATGTATTCTCCCCTCGAGCCCCTGGAAGCCCTGCCAACTCATTTAGACTTCCAACCTCCAGAATTTTAGGATGATAAACTTGTGTTGTTTACAACCAAAGAGTTAAAAATAAAGAAATAAAAAAATTCTTTCTAGATGTTATGTGGCATAACTCAGTTATCAAAAAAAGAAAACACCTTCCTTTTCTAAAAGATTTTTTTAATTTATTTATTTGAGAGAGAGAGCGCGCACAAGCAGGGGGAGCAGCAGAGGGAGAGGGAGAAGCAGGCTCCCGAGGAGCAGGGAGCCTGATGTGGGGCTCAATGCAGGGCTTGAACCCAGGACCCTGGGATCATGACCTGAGCCGAAGGCAGATGCTTCACCAACTGAGCCACTCAGGCGCCCTGAAACACACACATTTTTGCCTTCCCAAAACAGTTACCTTATCTGGCCTTACCATCTCCCTACTTCCATCCTGAAGTGCCTTCCTCCAATAGCTCAGTAAAAAATAGATCTAATGTGAACAGAAGTGCCTCTAGTAAAAGACTCTTCCAAGTTTTGAAGTGTGTATGCACACACACATGTATGTGTCCATACGCGTATGTGAGTATGTGTGTGTGAGCCTGTCATTACTACAGAGGCCATGGGAGAAAAAAAAAGTCCCCCCAAGAGCCAAGTCAGAAGTTAACAGGAACAATATGACAAACACAAGGTCATCCAGAGTTCTCAAGAGACAATGCGGTGTTAAGTACATTTTGTAGCCATGAAAATCCAGGATGTAAATAAGCATGTGATGAGGTTTGCTCTGAACAGAATAAGTATATTTATATAAAATAACTTTCATTAACTATTCCTTTGTTACCAATCTCAAGGAAATGCTCGTTATCCTTCAGCAGAATTTACTATTAGCAAATGCAAACATAATGAAACCTCTGCTAGGCTTATATTCGAGATCTGGGAGACTGAAATCCCACTATTTTCCTTTCAATCTTCCATTTTAAAAAATCTTGGAAATGACTTTAATATAGTTAAAAAGTAAGCAGGCATGCTTCAAATCCAAAACTGTGTTTTTTCGGTCAAGTACTGCTCTCTGTAAAGTGCGTCACCAACCCCCAGTAGAAACTTACCCTTCAACTTGAGGTCAACGTTATGTCTCAGCCAAGGGTAAACCCCATAGCTTGGCATATCTTCAGGAATCGGATTACTGTTTATCCAGCCATCACAAGCAAACCGGAAGAAATTATCACAAGGGTCCACAGAGAAATTTACCTTACTCAAGATGGCAGCAGCTATTTAAAAAGAAAATCATAGGATTAATGACAAGCACTGAACACTATGTACTGTTCTCTTCCAAATTAAACAACCATTTCCTATCAACCAGTTCCCAAGCCTTGGCTTTTACTTTTCCTCTCAAATGACTCCCTGAATCAACTTCACTATATTACATTACTGTATTCAGATTGAGTGGGATTCGTGTGAATGGTTTTCGCAGGACTGTCTCTGACATCTGCACCGCATGGGATAGGAATACAAATGGAGTCTACGGTAAACTGTCTGCAAGGAGGAGTGCAACCTTTCCTTCTATCCTGCTCATCCTTCTGCAAGGTGATTTTGCAACTCAGCCCATCAAGCAATAGGATCTATTTTCCCTGCCTTGAATCTGGGTTGTCCTTGCGATTTGCTCTAACAGAATATAGCAGAGCAACTTTTCTTGAGTTTCAAAACTAGGCCTTAAAAGGCCCTTGTACCTTCCATAGTAACTCCCTTTGATTGGAGCCCTAAGACAGACCTTTGAAGAAGCCTCCTGGAGGAGGCGAGGCCACATGGAAAATAAGCCAGTCAGCACCAAGTGCCAGACATGTGACTGAAGCCATCATGGACCTTCCAGGTCAGATGACCCTCCGGCTGAATGCAGCTGTATAAATGAGCCTAGGCAAGAGCAGCAGAGGAACCCCCAATGAACCCACAGAATAAGAAATATTAAACCACTCATGCTTCAAGCCTCTAAGATTTGAGGGTAGTTTGTTCCACAGCATAAGCTGAGTGAAACAGAGGCCTGTAAGTCATATTGAAATATATAAAGGATATATTCAATATACCTCCGTAAAGACCTGGAAAGCCAGGTATGAATTCCTGAGCCCCTGGACGTTTAGTGTAGCTCTCAGAGGAATGAACCCCTGGAAGAGACCCCCACGGGCCCTGCAGAGAGGCTCAGGGCCATTTAGCAGGGAATTCGGGCTTATAAAAGGATATGGCTGCTAACCTGGCCCCTGGACTATGGGAGAGGCATGGCCAGAGGAGGGCAAAGTGGGCATGGGGCCTAGGGCAAGGGCCCCTCCTGCCCAGGTCTCAGGGCAGAACTGAGTATGTATATAAGTTAACAGAAAGACACAACAGACTGATTTACCTTTTCTTCCTCTTTCATGAGCCCACACACAATTACATATGCAACACAGTCAACAAGGAGGAAGTTTGTGCATACTTAATATATAACCATGAGCTTTAAAAAATCTTTCATTAAAAAATGAGGTTCTTGGGCGCCTGGGTGGCTCAGTTGGTTAAGCGACTGCCTTCGGCTCAGGTCATGATCCTGGAGTCCCGGGATCGAGTCCCGAATCGGGCTCCCTGCTCGGCAGGGAGTCTGCTTCTCCCTCTGACCCTCCTCCCTCTCATGCTCTCTGTCTCTCATTCTCTCTCTCTCAAATAAATAAATAAAATCTTAAAAAAAAAAAAATGAGGTTCTTGGGGCATCTGGGTGGCTCAGTCAGTTGAGTATCTGACTTCGGCTCAGGTCATGATCGCAGGGTCCTGGGATCGAGCCCCACATTGGGCTCCACACTCAGCAGGGAGTCTGCTTCTCCCTCTCCTTCTGTCTCTCCCCACTGCTTGTGCTCGCTGGTGCTCTAGCTCGTGCACACTCACTCTCTCTCAAATCATAGAATCTTTAAAAAAAATGAGAAGGTTCCAAAATTCCTAATACTGAGCTCCAACTCTCTTCCAACTGTCATACAACTGCTGGCTACCACTCAAACACAAAGATATGCACCAATTAAAAAAAAAAAAAGGCAGCCAATATTTTAATGACATTGGAAAGATGACATTGTGTAATTTTCATACATTAATTAATGCCAGAATATATTTATTTGAAGTAATGAAAACCCAATGAGTTTTCAGCTAAATATGAAGGAATTGCCAAAAAAAGTATCATCTGCATATATTTATATATGCTGGTTATCAGTTTGGTTATATGTGTCCTCCAGGTTCAAAACTAAGGCTAGATATTTTTCTAGCCTAGACTTGCTATGCAAATTTTCAACAGCTTTTCGTCCTTCATAAAGTGAATGATATAGAAATATCCTAAGTTTCTACAGGACTTCAAAATCCCCAGCACTTTCCCCCTTTCCAAAAAAATCAAAGCAAAAAACTAGTTTAGAGGGGCACCTGGGTGGCTCAGTCGGTTAAGCATCCAACTCCTGATTTTGGCTCAGGTCATGATCTCAGGATTGGGAGACTGAGCCCCACATCAGGCTCCACACTGAGTGTGGTCTGCTTCAGATTCTCGCTCTCCCTCTCCCCCGCCCCCCAACTTGTGCTCTATTAAAAAAAAAAAGTAAAACTGGTTTTAGAAGTTTGATCAATTTAAAACTGGCTTAATATTTTCATGTTCAAGAATTCAGTGGTCTCCAATTATATTTTACTTACTGCTATTTTATCATATTAGTATGCAAATAAGCTAGGACATACCAAATCTTTATTTCAGTTTGTATTTATGATTCTGGCTGTGCAACCACAGAACGAATCTGCTATGGGACCCCCCAGGGGCAATGATCATACAAGTGTCAGTGCCACACAATAGTTACAGTCACCAGAAGAACCCTCACACACATTTTTATTCACATAAGCACACTGTCTTCTGGCCGCCTTCCCAAACCTCCCCCTGCCCCCAACCTAAAATATGTCCTCTCCATCTCCTCAGTATTCTTGCAGGTACCGACAAAATCTGCAAGATCAGCTCTGACCTCAGCCTTGACAGAGTGGGGAAATACATCACTCACAGAGAATGTGGAAGTCAGCCCGCTAAGTGGGAAAACTCTAGTTTCAACCTCCTAATTCATCATTCATCATTCACAGCTGGGCACAGGGCTGCACCTTCTGCAGAACTGAGACTTCAAATTGCAAGGGACCGTAGTTGTCAAGACACCACAACTCCTTTCCCCCTGTTCAGTTCCATAGAGAAAACTCAAAGAGACTTGTTTTAATAAAGAAATACGATGATCAAAGAAACCTGTGAAAGGCCCAACTATGTGTCCTCTCAAGTTACTGCATAGAAGGTCAGTGGTTACGTGGTCTCCTATTAGTGTTTATTTAGAGCTAGAGGCACCACACCCCATGTACCAGCCTGAGCTTTTAAGTGTAATCAGGGCTCAAGGGAGAGGGTGGTGTTAATAGTAAAATCATTAATATTGAGCATTTCCTCTGTGCCAGGAACTATGCTAAGCCCTTTTCAGAAAGTACAGCATCATCTAGAGCCAGACCACCTGGATTTAAATGCCAGCAACACCATGCAAAAGCTATGTAACCTTGGGCAGGTTACTAAACCTCTCAGTTTCCTCATCTGTAACAAGGGATAATAATCGCAACCCACGGGAGCTTCATGAGAATTAAATGAGTAAATACACATGAAGTGTTTAGAAGAGTGTCAGGCACACTGACAAATAAATACGGTTGTCAGATAAAATACAGAATGCCGAATAAAACTTGAATTTCATATCAATGGCAGCTTTTATATTATGTACCAAATATTGCAGGGGAATATACAAAAAAAAAATAGCAGCCTTATTGTCTATCTGTAATTCAAATTTAACTGAGCATCCTGAACATGTATGTATGTAGCTAAAGCTGGCAACCTTACAAATTTTTGCTATTATTTTTGCTATTCCACAAATAGTTATCTGAAACTCGAGTTATTTTTCAGAGCTCATAAATTTTCAGATTTTAGAAAACTAATACAGTGCTTAGACCACAGCAATGTCTGGAGTGGCACTCCTGAAGTAAGCACATTAATAATTCCATAGGAAATATATGCATATTTTCCTAGGTGGGATAAACAAAGTCCACAACAGTCTCATGGAAGTTAAGATCTAGTTTTGCCATAACAACTGAAATCGGGTCCAGTCTTGCCAACTGACATGTTACGATGTTCTCTGGGTCTGGGGTTAAGAATCATACACTGTGGACCTGGAATACTACTACAACCAGCACCATTATTTTCTTCTATTCTCACACCTAGTATGCTAAGTAAGAACAGTATTCCCATTTTACAGATGGTAAACAAGAGACTTAGGATGGTTATTCAATTAACCCAGGATCATGTGGCTTTTAAGTAGCCAGATCATGCTTCAAACCCAAGTCAGCCTGTCAGCCCTTATCCCTATTTAGCATGCCCTTTCCTTGCAATTTTTTCCACCTCTTATTTTGAAAGAGGGATTAGGAGAAGAGGAAATGGACAAGAGGAGGAAAAGAGAGCTATGGAGAGGAGGCATCTCACAAAGGGGTGGCACCTGCTCAGAAATGGTCCAGACAGGATCAAACACTTCCACCTCCTGAGCTTCTGTCCTGCATGACCAGGCATGCGCACACCCCCTCGCCCCCGCGCCGCACGCACGCACGCACGCACACAGCCGCTGCGCGCGCGCGCGCGCCCCCGGCACCTTTGCGCTGCTTTTCATTTAAGACCTTCCCAGGGACACATTTATGCGGTGAGTACCTAACAGCTGTTCTGCAGGCCCCTAAGCACAGTGAGGCTCATGTTACACTGAAGAGGATGTATCCTTGGTGAGCCTTTTGTCACAGAAACGGAAAAATCGGTATTTTTTTTTCAATATTAAAAAGCCATTCACCAACGTGAAAATTAAAAACAACAGCAAGGCAAAACAGACTAGCTGGCAGGAGACGACATTATCAAATGACATTCTGTAAGTCTTACTCTTGCATTATTATGATTTGTAATAAAGAGAAAACTCGTACAGTAAGTGGCTCTCCATACAAAAAGTTGCCTAAACGCAAATTGAAAATGTTTTAGTTCAAAAAAATCTCATTTTCACACATCTGCAAGGACCCAACCACAGCAAAATCACAAGGTGACATGAAGTCTAAACCGTGACCTGCTGACAGTTCCACCTGGTGTCCCACTCCACTTCAAGTCATCACTTTCCATTGAGAAACCCTAGGTCAGCCGCTGAAGCTGGAAACAGGAAAGGGTATGGGAATTCCCAAATTGTTCTCAACCTTCCCGGGAGGAGATGGAGAAGCTGAAACAGCTGTCTAGTCACCAGACACTAGTAGGTCCATTGTTACGAAAAAGGCAAGACAGGACCAAGGCCAAAGAGTAACCTGGCATGGCCTTATTGCACCAAAGCCCTGATGGAGAGCAAACAGACATGAACTTGAAGCCCAGCCCAGTAGCTAACTCAGGGTGTGACCCTGGGCAAATTATTTAGCTTCCAGAAGCCTCCATATCCTCATCTGTAGTTGGGCCTGGTGATAGCACTGACATCATGGGGTTCTTATGAAGATTTTATGAGAGCATATGTAAGTCACTTAACACAATGCCTGGTTAAAAAACACATACTGATCACTTAAAAATGGGACAAAAGGGCGCCTGGGTGGCTCAGTCGTTAAGCGTCTGCCTTCGGCTCAGGTCATGATCCCAGGGTCCTGGGATCGAGCCCCACATCGGGCTCCCTGCTCCGCGGGAAGCCTGCTTCTCTCTCTCCCACACTCCCCCTGCTTGTGTTCCCTCTCTCGCTGTGTCTCTGTCAAATAAATAAAGTCTTTAAAAAATAATTCCAACAACAACAAAAATGGGACAAAAAATAACAATTGTCTAACCCCTTATCTTTGTATAAGGCCTCTGAATTTAAAAGCTCTTTCGCCTGAGTCTTTTCCATCTCAACAAATGCCACTGCCAAAAATCTAAGCATCACCTTGATTCTCTGCTTTTTCTCACAACTCACTTCAAATCCTTCGGCAAACCCCTGGCTCCAAAACCCTCTACACTCTGCCTTTCCATCTCTGGAATTCAAAAAAAGCATCGCGTCTCATCTGGCTTACTGAAATAACCTCCCGCCTGACGACCTTCTTCCATCTTGCTCCCTATGGTTTCTTCTCCACCCCAAAACGACTCTCCTGAGTCTAGGTCTCCACAGAGAGATCTTTTTAAATGTTAATAAGATCATGTCTCTGTCTTTATTGAAACCTTCTGGAGGCTTTTTTTTTTTTCCTTCTGGAGGCTTTTGAGCACACTTAGGAAAAACCCACACTCGCTGACACCTGCGTTCCCCACTAACCCTCATCACCTGCACTCTGCCCCTTATGCAGTAAGTTCTCCCGCTCTGGGACCTTTGCCCCAGTTCTCCCCCATACCTGGAAAGGCCTTTCCTCGATCTTCACACAACACGTCCCTTCTCATCATTCAGGGTCATTTCAACATCATTTCCTCAGACTTTCCAATCTAGCCATCCTGTCACTTGCTATCACATTATTCTACTTGAATATTTTAATCTTCTGCATAACATTACCATCAGCCGATATTTTTCTTCCACACTGATCACCTTGTTTGTCTTCCCCTACCAGGTGATTCAACTTTACTGCTAACTTGGTGCCTGACTTGGAATAAGTATTTGGCAAATTAATTCATTAATCTCTTAAGACCAAGAGCAAAGTGAAACGGCTATGTGCTTAACTAATCCTTATGACTCTCCCCTTGGAAAATACACTAGTGTTCGTGCCCACTTAAAGAAGAGGGGGAGGGCGCTGGAATCTGGGTCCTGCAAATCTAGGCCCTAACCCTCTTCCCTCTTCCCTGTAGAGGGAATATAAGGGTTCTGCCAACACTGAGGCAAGTTTAAACACTCATATTCCCTGTGGAGTACCCACTGATACATGATCCAGTCACCTCAAGACAAGTTTGACTTGTAAGGACCCAAAGTGATTTCAGGTGACAGTGCAAGCACAGATTGATGGAGGATCCCTGCTCAGAGGCAGACAGGTCGGATCCACTGACCAAATGATACAGAGAGACTGCTTAGGGTAAACAGGGACCTGTATCCAGCTGAGGCCATAGGAAGGCTGATGGTCTCTCTGTTCGGGTCTTAAGAAAAGCCATTAGGCCTACCATGCCCCTTCCGGATTTCCTTATAATGACTTGGAATACCCCACAGCTGTTTTTTTGCAAGGAAGAAAAAAACAGGAAACCAATGCTCCACAATTTCACACTGAGACTTGAAGGTAAACTGAAAGTTTCATCAAAATTGCATTTCATCCTTGGTAAACCTCAAGCAAACAGAATACTAAAAATACCACCTGTTTTCTCTTCCTCTCCCCAAGGTACCATTATGATAACTAGACACAGGATGGAAAACGGACTTACCAGCTTCGATGCATTCTGGCTTCAAGCAGTACTCCTGTTTAGCTTGGAGACTTAAGAAACCTTGACTCACTGAAAAAACAGACCAAAATAAAGAAATGACTGGTGTGTAGCAGACCACCGTCAGATAACCCACAGTCAGGCACATATGCTAGACATGTGGTATCAGTTCATCCTTCTCAGCACTGACACGGAGTTCAAAAATCCAGCTGGCTCAGTATCACCCAACCAGACTCTGGTCACAAGCTAAGAAACCTTGGTGAGACTCACTGCTCTGAAATTGGGTTCTCTAGAATATGAGTGGATACAATCAGACCAGTGCTTCTCAGAGTGGGGTGCCCAGGCCTCGGGAGCAGCATCCCCTGGCAGCTCTTTAGAAAGATAAATTACTGAGCCCTACCGCTGACCTGAATCAGAAAGTCTGGGCGGGGGGCGGGCAGCCATCTGCATTTTTGCAAGCCCTCCAGGTGATTCTGATACACACTCAAGTTTGAGAGCCACGGGGCTAGATGATCTCTAAAGTCTCTTCCATCTCCAATTATCTATGATTGAAGTCTCATAATTTCACTCTTTCTGTTTACAACTATGTTCCTGTTTTAGAGATGGGGATAAAATGAAACTTACAACTATGTCATTTGGAGTAAATCCAGACTGGAAGGAGAAAAAGAGCATGTGTGGCATTTAAAGTTCTGATTCTTATCTAGACCGTCCATAGATATCTGTGGGGGGGGGGGGTTACACAGTCATCTAGCAAGAGAGTCATGATACGCCCTGTACCCCACACACCCTCCTCCCACCAAGCTCAGCCTAGCTACCAGACAGATGTGGCTTGTGGACCAAGCTTCCAACTACTTCCACCAGAACAAAACAAAACAAAAACCCTGCGAGATGGAATTAGCTTTTCACCAAGGGCTTAATTTTCCCCATCTGTCTGGCAATATTATCTAAATGGATTTCTGCAGAAGTACAGAAGGGTGCCCTTTTGTAAACTCCAGGCAGCACCTGGGCATTAGCAGATGTGAGTTTAGATTTCAAAAATATTTTTGGTAGCCAAGGAAGTTAACAGAAATTCATTATTGCTGTACTCTGTGAGCAGAAATCAGGAATCATTTGGAGATGTGGCCGTGGGGAGATGGATGGTGGGGGGTGAGGGGGAGCCAAGGCCTTTTGTGGCATCCTCAGCTGAGAAGCAGGGTAAGAAAGCACGGCGGTACGGGGCGCCTGGGTGGCTCAGTCGTTAAGCGTCTGCCTTCAGCTCAGGTCATGATCCCAGGGTCCGGGGATCGAGCCCCGCATCAGGCTCCCTGCTCGGCAGGAAGCCTGCTTCTCCCTCTCCCACTCCCCCTGCTTGTGTTCCCTCTCTTGCTGTGTCTCTCTGTCAAATAAATCTTTAAAAAAAAAAGAAAGCACGGCGGTACCTATATTTCCGCTAGAGATGGAAGACCTGTATATCTCTTGCCAGTATTGCAATTTGTATTTTTTATTAACCCACATTCTAAGAGGAGCCTGCTTTTTCTTTGTTCCTTTCTCTGCTGCCATCCTCCAAACAGCCTTTTTACTTGTGTTACATTACAGATATAAGAAAATTGCCAATGGCACACCTCAGGTCTGTTTTTAAGAAAAGAAGTATCTTAGGGGTGCCTGGGTTTCTCAGTCGGTTGGGCGTCCGACTCTTGATTTCGGCTTGGGTTGTGATCTTGGGGTCGTGGGATCAAGCCCTGCATCAGGCTCCACGCTCAGTGGGGAGTCTGCTTCTCTATCTCCCTCCCACCCCCCGCCGCCGCTTGCTCTCTCTCTCTCTCTAAAGTGAATAAATAAATCTTTATTTTAAGATTTTATTTATTTGAGAGGCAGAGAGAGCGAGAGAGTGGCAGAGAGGAAGAGGGAGAAGCAGACTCCCCACTGAGCAGGGAGCCCGATGCGGGGCTCCATCCCAGGACCCTGGGATCATGACCTGAGCCGAAGGCAGTCGCTTAACCGAATGAGCCACCTAGGCGCCCCTGAATAAAAAAATCTTTTAAAAAAGGAAAAAAAAAAAAAGAAAAACCTTAGCATAAAGGTGTTTTGATTTCTTTAAAGAGCAAAGAAAAGTTAGATAAAAATATAAACGTGCAGCGTAAACATTAGTACTGAATATTTCATTATGCCTGTGTGATGGAACCATGGGGGACATATTCCCTTCAGTCTACCTCTATGTGTTTACCAAATGTTCTTTAATGAACCTGTATTATTTTTTATAATGGAAAAATAAACTTTATTATAAGTAACACTGTTATGATTCTGGACAGTACCATCTTGATACTAGCCTTATTTTTTTAAAAAGCTAATGAAATGGTTAGTTTAAGGAGTTATTGCTTTCATGGAAAAGAATTCTTGACCCAGCCCTGTAAGGAAGCAGAACTAGATATCTTTATCTGAATATGAGTAAAAAGGAGGTTTAAATTAAATTGGGATGCAGACAGACCTAAACCCTTGAGGAAGAGCATTATATCCATGGGGGGTGGGGTTAAGATCCTGCAAATAAAGAAGAATCAACAGGCCCAAATAATGTGAAGGTGTGGGTGAATGAAATTGGGACAACAAGGGGAATATTTTTTATATAAAAATTGAAAATGTTACTTTTTACTGGTTAGGTGCTTTAAAAAAACTTAAGGAGCAGTTTGGTTTCTCATTTTAGATTTTTCTTTTTTTTTTCTAAAGAATTTATTTATTTATTTGACAGAGAGAGATAGCGAGAGCAGGAACACAAGCAGGGGGAGTGGCAGAGGGAGAAGCAGGCTCCCCGCGGAGCAGGGAGCCCGATGCAGGGCTCCATCCCAGGGCCCTGGGATCATAACCTGAGCCGAAGGCAGACGCTTAACGACTGAGCCACCCAGGCGCCCCATTTTAGATTTTTCTATAACCAGTAGAAATGCCCTCAGAATGCAGTAGAGTCATCCGCAGATGGACAGCGTGAGAATGACCATAAAGTAGGGGTCAGCAAACTATGACCCATGGGCCAAGTCCAGTCTTCTGCTCATTTCTGTACGGCCCGTGAGCTAAAAATGATTTTTACATTTTTAAATGGTTGGAAAAAAACCACAAGAAGAATCATGTTTCATAAAAATGATCTGAAATTCAAATTTCAGTATTCAGAAATCAAATTGTATCAAAAGACAGTCATGCCTATTTGTGTACAGAGCTGCCTTCTTGCAGCAGCAGAGAGTGGATGGCCCAGAAAGCTGAAAATATTTACAATCTCGTCCTTTACAGAAAAAGTTTGCCAACTATTACATTTGAGAAATAGACTGTGGCGAGGAAGAATGGGGGGAAGGAGGAAGAAAGGAAAGGACACTTTAAAATAAACTACTTATAGGCATATGGTTATACCTGTCATCTAAAATTCTGGTTTTCTAGCTTCTCTGAGACCACCCCAAGGCCGGTGGCAGTCACTCTTACCGTAGAACTAAGGTTTGGGAAAGAGATTAGCCCAGAGCCGGAAATACAAAGAAGTAAGGAGGGATGCTAGAAATTGCAGGCATGTGCCTAAATTTGGACAGACAGGAAAATATCAACCAGGAAGCACCTTGACCAGAAGAGGACTTAACCAGAACATTGTCACAAAGAGCATTGCCTTGCAGGTCCCTGGAGATTTTCAGACAAGGACTTCACTAAGTGCGCGGTGAAGGTGGGTGGCAGAACCTGGGGGACAAGGCAGTGAAGAAGGGTCAGGGGGAAGGAAGTCTGAAATGGTGCAGAGATGTTGGACAAAAACCTACTAAAGAATGTGCATTTATCTGAAAGCAAATATCCCCGATTATATACATCCACGTGGACGCTGTCAGCTAGAGCTTTAATTTGCAAATGAATCAGCTGGGGATCTTATGAAAAGGCAGATTCTGAATCAGTAGTTCTGAGTTCAGAAGCTCAGGCTCCAGAGTGGTGCGCACACTGCCAGTCTGCCGAGCACAGCGGCTAGTGGAGGTGTAGAGAGGCCACACTTTTATTCTCTAACATCATTAGAGCTCCTCTTAGAAATCTGCAGTAAGAGCCAGGTAATTGGGCACACTGCAAATTATTTTTGTCTGCTTTAGGCGGGCCTCCTTACCATAGCATTGCCTGGCTTCAAGAATTTTACTGTGCTCTAAAAACTTTAGAGCTGATTCCAAAGAATCATCTCCTCTCGAGGAACAAAGATTTGCTGCCATTGAGAATATTCCAACTAGGGGCGCCTGGGTGGCTCAGTCGGTTAAGCGTCTGCCTTCCGCTCAGGTCATGATCCCAGGGTCCTGGAATCGAGCCCCGCATCGGGCTCCCTGCTCGGCGGAGAGTCTGCCTTTCCCTCTTCCCCTGCTTGTGCTCTCTCTGTCTCTGTCCCTCTCTCAAATGAACGAATAAAATCTTAAAAAAAAAAAAAAGAAAGAGAGAGAGAATATTCCAACCAATATGTAACAGCCTCAGAATATAGTCGTTCTTAAACGGTGGAATTTCAAATGCTTCGAGCAGCAGTAACATCATTAAAAAGAGTGCATATTTTCACATAAACAATCATCATTTGGATTTTGAAGTTTGGGAGTGTTCACAAAACACAAATAGTCTAACTTTGTACTCACTTCTCACATAGTATGTAGTTTCCATATGGGCAAGCCATATCATTTTCCTCTCCTTTGAATTTCAGGATAGGACACATGTCTAAACCCCAAGTGCCGAGGAATCTCAGAAAAGTTTTTGAGAGCCACAAATTCAGCTGCAGCAGTAGGAGGTTTAGCTGCAGCAGAAAGCAATAAACCTATCTAATTTCCTAAATCTACAGTCACAGAGAACATGGAAAGATGGTTTGCTGGTTTTAGCAGAATTTTCAACCACACAACCCTAACTCTTTTAAAGTCGAATCACTGGTTTTCCCTTGCCAAAATAAACATGGCCTCCTGCAACCTGTGCGAGCCAAAGAAGGTTTCCAGGCTTGCTGCATTTCAGACTGCACCTCAAATCTCCTAAGGATAGGGGCTTGTTCCAGGCGCCTGGGTGGCTCAGTTGGTTAAGCGACTGCCTTCGGCTCAGGTCATGATCCCGGAGTCCGTGGATCGAGTCCCGCATCGGGCTCCCTGCTCGGCAGGGAGTCTGCTTCTCCCTCTGACCCTCTCCCCTCTCATGTGCTCTCTCTCTCATTCTCTCTCTCAAATAAATAAAAAAAAATCCAAAAAAAAAAAAAGGATAGGGGCTTGTTCCTATATAGCTTTCAAGCTAATGAAATAGTATGGGCTGTATGAGGAAAATACAAAGGGTAATAATCAAGGGTGCAAAATGCCTGCAATTTTAGAACATCCATCTCCCCTTTCCAAGATATCTCATTCTTATTCATAGGAATATGCTTTTCATCATATATACTCTCTGGGTACATCATTCTCACCAAGAGTCATTAAAATAATTTAATCACAATACCTTTCAAATGTTGGAAAGAAAACCTCTGTTTTCCTTCATATTAATTTTTAAATCTAGAAAGGCAGAGTTAAAATTTCATCCCACCAAGAGTCACTGGATTAGAAAGGCATTGAGGAATATCATTAAGGTGCCTGTTTAAAGACTGCTTTGTATTTTTTTAAGTTAAATTTCATGATTCATTCAGGCAAACATTAGCAAAACTCAAATGGAAAAAAAACTCCAGTGTGGTTTTGATCACAATGTAAAGTCTTTCCTCACAAAATAAATGAAAGTATCTGACTATGAATTCATAAACCCTCATTTTGCTAAATGTAAGATACAATGCATAAAAAAATTTTTGCCCAGTGCAACCGAATCCTCCAGCTGCTGGAAGCTACTTTATACCCACTTGGCAGTCTGGACTATACATTTGGTGCTTGCCTGTATTTATTTATTCAGCTTCCTAAAGAAAAGGCTTCTTTCCCTTTTGCATATTTAATAGAAGCTAAGGATACACCACCTACTCACACATGCAAACAGCCCTCCACCTGCATCCTGACAAGGTTTGCCAGAAGAAAGCTCAAGGAAACTTAACTGCACTCGCCCTGTTCCCTGGCCTCCAGCGCCCCACTTACCTAGAAAGAGGATCATGCCCAGCACCAGGGTGCCACCAATGAACACAGCCAGGGCGATTCGAGTGCCTCTACTGGCCATCTTTCCAGTCTCCGTGCTGCTCCCCATTTCTGCCTCCATCAGGAGGGACGTAGAGGCCACGCGAAGAGAAGGTCACTTTTTGTGGTTTGGTGGCTGGTCTCAATAGTCTGTTAGGCGTTTGCTCTTCCACTAATAGCCTAAAAAATCCCGTCAGGAAATCTTCCCTCACTACCCTTTCTCAAATATTTCTTCACAAATGAAATAAAAGAAACCCAAAATATTGGTTGCCTTGGCTTTCCCCCTGACCAGACAAAACAAACAGTGGTTGCTTTATCTTGGTGCTCTCCCCCCGCCCCCCAGCAAAGTCCCTCTCAACCGATGATTTGGCAGGCTTTTCTCTCAGGCGTTCTGAGTGTACATGTTTTACTATGTGGCTGAACAGATGTTTTAGCTATTTAAATGTATAGTCACTTTGGGAGGAAAAAACAATTGTCTTTATCAAAACTGGATTCTCATCAAACTCCCCCAAACTGTGATAAGTTAGGCGGCAGGGATTCTCCAGACCCGCTTTAAGGTCTCAATGAATCACGTAATTCTTTTGCACTAATCATTCTGCTCGCCTGAACTGTCTCCATCAAAGCTATTGTTTCTGTGTGCAAGTCCCTTTTTAAAGCCCTCTAAGAGTTCCTGGGATGTCCTGGAGCATTTTATTTTAGGAACTTTGTGTATGACGGCATGTGCCAAAAATCAGAGTCATAGTCCAGTGCAGTGCAAAGTAGCAATTAAGACAACCTACAGAGGCTGATGGTTTGGACTGGAACTTTTTTTAAGGAGAAAGAAAAAAGCACTTCCTCTCTGTGGTGCTAAGAACTGGATAAAAGATGGGTAAGCGTTCAAATTAAGCTTATTAGCAACCACAGAAGAAACGGTACAAGAGTTTTTTCCCTGCATCTTTTGATGGAAAGTGCCCCCCGTGTATTTGGCCCTCCAGGCCCACCAAGGCAGCCTTTGGTTAGTACAGTTTTGTGTTTACATAAAACGCCCATTTCAGCGGATTCTCCAGGATAAAATCAAAGGCAATTGGTTTCCCTGGAAAGACTGAGTTAATGACTGGGTCTTTGATTTGTTTAATTATGCTAACAATTTAAATTATGAAAATCTGCTTTCCTCATGGGGAAAGGCAACTGAGAGTCCAATGCTATGGGTTTTATTAGCCAATGATACAAATGTCATTGATTCACAACACAGTTACTCCTTACCTGTTTTTGTTTTGCTGAAGCTCATAGGACAGTGGGAATGGGGGTGGGGGATTCATCTGAAAACCAGTAGAGCACAGTTCTCATGCAAAACTTGTGCCCGTGGCCTTGTGGGTCACACCAGAGCTCAGCAGACGCTGTTGAGCCCAGCATAACACGGCCACGTGTTCATGGTCCTGTCTGGCTGGTCTGGGTCAGGTCTTATATACTTAGCGTGGGATTCTTCCAAGGTTTAGACTTATTCCAAAACACATCCTACATCACTTTCTGCTCATTTCATGTTGCCCCAAAGGCAGCAGAGCATAAGCCTTTGTCCAAATTATGACATCATAGTATGCTGTAGATATTATGTGCTCATTACCTCTTGATGTCATTTTGTTGTTGTTATTCCATAACACATCTTAGCAGGCCTTTGGCTCCTAGGAAGGGATTCTCCCACGAGTTTTTAGACTTGAATCCACAGTACTTCTTAGACTGTGAGCTCTATGAAGTCAGGAATCACGTCCATCAAGTTCAGTGCTATAGCCCCAGCATCTACAGTTCATGGCCCATAACAGTGAAGGGAGAAATAAGAGCAATGAAAATCAGGCAAGTCAGCTCCAGGTACTCACTCTTAAAAAGCAGCTTCAGGGGTGGCTCAGTAGTTAAGCGTCTGCCTTCGGCTCAGGTCATGGTCCCAGGGTCCTGG